TGTAATATAATCTAATGCAATCACTTTCTGAAATGTAATCTAATGTAATGTAATCAACTGATTGGCTGTGGTCATACCAGTTTAGGGTAGATCCTAAACTTAATCATTTTTGAATCAGAAGAAGACCAGAATAGACAGAGACACAAACTCAAGGACAGAAGGCTTGTGAGGACAGAAGGCAAGCAAAGGAACTCTAAGGACTGTTGTTGTTGTTGTGAAGTGCCATCGAGTCAGTTCTGACCCATAGCGACCCTGTATAGGGTTTCCAAGGAGCAGCTGGTGAACTTGAACCGCCAACCTTGCGGTTCAAACGGCTTTTCAGTCTGATGCATTCATTAACCCACAGCGTCACACCAGATACCAAAAATGAGGAGAGAGATTCACAGATGGAATTAACATGGTCAAGACTGATTTAGACTTTTAGTTTCCAGAACTAAGAAAATAAATTTCTGTTCTTTAAAGCCAACCACTTGTGGCATTTCTATCATGGTAATACTAGGTAACTAACTCAGCAGGCTTTCTAAAATAAGACAAAATCACCAATTCTAAAAAAAAAAGATAAATTTGACTATATTAAAACTAAGAACTTCTGTTTATCAACAAACATCATAAAGAGGTTGGGAAGAGAAGCCACAAACCAGGAGAAAACGTATAGTTAGCAAAGGACTAGTATCCAGACTATGTAAAGAATTCCTATAAATTAAAAAGAAAAAATAAACTGCTCATCTTTAAACATGCAAAGACAGGAATGAAACTTTTACAGAGAGAGCACAGATGGGTTGTAACATACGAATAGATGCTCAACCTCATTAGTAATAAAAAAAAACGCATATTAAAACCACAATGAGATGCCATTTCACACCCACTAGCCTGGCAAAAAATACAGATTTGATAATAGGAAGAGCTAGTAAGGACTAGAATCACACGGAGGATTTTTATCCGCTTCTGTTGGGAGTGTTCGAGAGTTAATCACCCTGTGATTAAGCAATTTGACTCTCATATAAACAGTAACGTTAGCGCAGCATTATAGTAGCAAAAAACCGGAAACAACCCAATGTCCACCAACAACAGAATACATTGCACAATCATATAATGGATTATTACACAAAAAATGAAAATAAAATGAACCTCAGCATCTACCTACATATATGGATCTCAAAAATAATCTTGGCAGAGAAAATCAAATTGAGGAGGAATATATATTGCATAATTTCATTTATATAAAGGTAAAAATCAGTCAAAATTAAACAATGTATTTTTTAGGGATTCTCTCACAAGTAATAAACAAACCAGCTGCTGTGGAGTCAATCCCAACTCATGGAGACCCCAAACACTCCATAGGACTTTTTTTTTTTAAGGTTTTTATTGTGGATTGAGTGAAAGTTTACAGGGCATATCATCAGTTTTACATTCAACAAATCATAAATCTTGTTTCATTACATTGATTATAATCCCCTCCATGTA